TTTATGAATTTGACATGCAAACAAGTCAACAATCATCGGAATGGAACCCGTTTTCAGTCGACTGAAAAGATGAAATAAAACTTGCTGAAGGAGCTGAAGGTCATTCCAAAAAGTACTAATGAAAAGTGTTTCGAGGAACGGAAAAATCGCAGGCATAAGTGTATCACATCTGCTACGGATTACTTTGAAGGCGACAAAATAAACTTTGATGAATTATTAAATATTTTAAGTAAAATTTTTTCCAATTACTGAAACTACCAACTCCGCCAAATTATATAAGAAAAAAACCAGACTTCTATAAATTACTGATTGCATTTTTGCTCGCATACGCATATACTATATAGCAGGTATGCTTTTTATGTCTGTATGTAATTATGTAGAGTTGCTTTTTATTCTTGTTCACTTCTTATTTTCATACACTGTAAAATCTACTGTAAAGTTGTCTATAAAGTTTTGCTCACAAAAGTCCATTTTGTTACTATGTTTTGTTCTTGTTTTTGTTTTCTATTAACATTTGCGCAAATATTTGATTTTCTTTACACTTCAGTTTGCTATGCTTCAATGTGTCCAGTTTTTTTTTTGTTTTTCTTTTTTCGTCGTAGCTAAATTTAGTATTAAAGAGTAAAATATCTCCAAAATGTAATATTCTTCACTAATTTGTTCTGTTTTCTTTTTTTCTATTTATTTGGTACTATTATTTTTTAATGTTTGTTTTGGAAAATTTTTATTTATTTATTTTTGCAGTGGATTGATTTCATTTGCGCATTGTTAGTGTAAACTTGCAAAGAAATTATCATAAATTTTTATATTTATTAACTAAATTATTTAATGTTAAATAATTGGCTTAAATTGAACTAAATTCGTAACAAAATTCGCTAACATTTAAACATATTTATATTATTTAAGTTTTTTTTAAGTGTATTTTAGAAACTAGTGAGTATAACAGTAATTTTATGCAAAAAACACCGTAAGCAAGTAACTTAGTGATTTAGGAAAATGAAGCGAACACAACTTAGTGTTAGAAATTTAATTAATTAATTAATTACTAATTAAGTGTGTATGTAAGTATATATATTTGTCTAAAAACATACATATACACATTTTGATTCCTACTTACTTTAAATATTGTTTGCTGTTCAATATTTCAATATATCCACGCTTTTGTAAATATTTGTAAGTAATACTTTCTTGTAGTTTTATTAAGTATTTAAATTATGATTTATATACCATTAAGTTAATTTATTTATTTATGATGCTTTGTTTTGTTACTTTAAGAGTTTAAAAAAAAAAAACTTGCTTGTAATTACTATGGTACAATTACAGCTTAAGTAAATAAATAATCTCTATTTAATCTAAAGTTATTTCTTTCTGCTTTACTGCCAGCGGAATTTGGAAATTTTCAGAGTTCCATGTAAAACCCATAGATTATCTCTATCGACAGAATCGTTTATGAAATTATGCCCCAAAAGTCTTAATTAGACTAAAATAAAATGTTTAAAAATATAACAAAATACCTAAAAATATTTATTTTAAAGATATAATAATAAGAAAATATAATTTAATGAAAACAGAACATTAACGCATTTTGCGCCGAAGCTATAATATCGTACAAATTAAAAAAAAAAATCCAGACAAGAACTTTGATCGACATCTGTACCCTGTAGTGGTCCGAAATGAATGGTTCCGACAAACAAACAGCTTCTTGAAAAGAAAAAAACGAGCAAAATTAGATATCGATAACTCAAAAACTGAATGACTAAATCTCGCATATAGTATCGAGTATAGATATCAAGAAGAAGTATCGACTCAGCTCGTCACGCGGATCATTTATATAAATAAATTATATTGAAGGTTTCTTTTAGGAGTATAAAGATAAATTGTGTCATTCAATAAAATATATGGATTCTTGAAAAAGCATATAACGTCATATATTGTTTCAGAACACACACATAACATTAAAATCCCATTGAACTTTCAAAACAAATTTAAATAATTAACACTTTTAATGCTAATGAAAAATCAGTTGAGATGATGAATTTGTCAAAATGATTTGGCCCTGCTTAGAGAAAACCTTATTCATATCTACACGATATAAGAATGGGCGAAGAGTGAAACAAAAAACCAAACAAAAACAAAACTATTGCAAGAGAACAAAAGACAAAGGCGAAAGCAAGTCAAGCGTATGATTAAAAACGTTCTCAATATAATTCAGTGTGGAGAAAGTGGGTAGAATTTGTCCGCAATAAGGTATGTCTCTCGTAAGAGACGACTAAAATCGAATATGCAATATGAAAAGACATTTGAAGTTCAAGCGACAAATGTCCCTAGTCATTTAGTTTGATGGGTGCTCAATTGTTAGTAGCAAAAGCTACAATGTCTGACCGAATAGTTAAATCTGGTACCACGGAGAACAGTTTGGAGTTCACTCAATGGAATTGCCCCTTTAAGGAGATTCGTGGTGGCTATGGTTTAAGTCTGTAGGCTAGTTCCAAATGGTTTGATATGTGCTTTTAAGCACCGTGAGGTTAGGCCGTCGACGCCAAGTACTATATATTTTTTTCGAACCATTTTCTAATTTTGGCAGCGCAAAGTCGACTAAAATAGTAGAATAAATAAAATTCAACTTAAGTAAAATCGCCGTCATTTTTTCAATTTGTATACTCTTGCAACATGTTATTTGTATCACATAAAACTAATCAAGATAAATATGGTCTTACATATATACATATACTTATACTGTAAATGATCAGAATGACAACGACAAGACGAGTAGAAATCTGAGTCCAACTTAAGATAAGAAACTGGAATTTCGTGCAAAGAATTACAATGACCAGAGGATTACCATAGGTGCGGTTTGAAAATTATTAAAAAATGGGCGTGGCACTACCCATATTTTGGAGAAATTCCATATCTCAGGATCTGCTCAACCAATTTCAATCAATTTCGTTACATAAAATTATTTTGACATTCCTTTGTCACAGTTCGAAAATGGGCGAAATCGTACCATACGCATACTTTCTAGGCAACAAAATTTAAAATTTTTTAATATATTTGACTCTTGCACTTTCCGGTATACAAGCAAGCACCAATTCATGCGTCGAGTGTTATTATAAAGTTTTGCCAAGTCCTGAAGGTAAGTTCCCGGGTTTCCACCTTGCAAGTTGCACTGGTTTAAAAAGGTTCACCCGAACTTAGCCCTTTCTTAGCAGATAATTTCACTTTTGGGCCGGTCGATTGGTCACCAAGATCTTGTGATATTACACCGTTGGACTTTTTCCTGAGAGGATATGTAAAGACTAAAGTCTATGCGAAAAATCCGGCTTGGATTCAGGTTACTAGTCGAAATGCTCGAACGCGTCATCGAAAATTGGACTCAACGGATGAACCATCTGAGACGTACCTACGGCCAACATTTGAAGGTGATAATCTTCAAAAAATAAATGGCGAAGAATGTTATTTCGAATGTTAATAAAAATTTTCTGAAAAATTTGACGTTTCTGTGTTTTTTCTTTAAAAGTAGGGAACTTCGAACTGGATCATATTTTATTTCGAAAAATTTAGCAGTTATATTTTAAAGTTGCAACCAAAGGTTTTCCAACGCAAACGCAATATTAAGCTGACACCTCTCTCTCTCTATCTATCTCTCTTAAAAAACTGTTCATAATAACTGCACAAGCTTCAGTTCAGCTTTGGTGCTCAGTTGTTTAGGCAAATAACGTTTAGCGTTTTTTAATGATCTCTCTTACGACAATTTTAAATAAATATCTGTTGACCAATATTTAATGGCAAATAAAAAAATAAATATGTTTACATTAAAAGTGTTGTTTGAAGTTTTGTGAACACATACACACATACAAGTATATATACTTTCTGTGTTATACATTTATGCATGTGCTAGTACCACTGTAGTTATACATACATATTATATATCGTCTTTGATTTGCGTGCACAAAGTATATAATTAAATATATATTTCTTACCAGCTTGAAATTGGAAGGGTTATTGATATTCTAACCATTATAACACATACATACAATTAATTTTAATAATAATTTCACGTTTGCAGTGTTTATTTCATAACAATTAGGTTTAATTACGCGTACTTTAATTAGACAAATACTTAAATATGGGCTGATGAGACTTAATGTGAATTATTATTATTTTTTAATTATTATTTTCATTTTGAAAATTTATTTTCTTAAATTATGTAATGGTATTTGAAAATTATATCGTGTATATATTATTTTCTATTCAAATGAATACATATGGCCTTTTTTGTTTTTAAATATTTTCTAGAGATCAGTTGTAGAGTTACTTTGCTGTCAAAACTGAGTAATTTTTTTTGTGTACACATATATTATATGTACAATATGTTTTTTTATGGTTTCTGGATTTTTCACAGTGTTGTATTATACCTACATATCGTCACCTAAAATGTAAAACAACGTAAATCATTTTTCATAAGTTCATAAGTTTGCAAGAAAAAACGATATAACAGAAACCACTCATATTGAAACAAAATTGGAGTTTTGGTTATAAAATTGTTATATATTGGTTATCCTATCGTCATATTGTAACAAAATTTGAGTTTCGGTTATTAAATGGTTATATATTGGTTAACATACCGTCATATTGTAACAAAATTTGAGTTTCGGTTATCAAATGGTTATATATTGGTTATCATACACTCAAACAAAACTTGAATTTTGGTTATAAAATGGTTATATATTGGTTATCAGACCGTCATATTGTTACAAAATTTGAGTTTCGGTTATTAAATGGTTATATTCTGGCTTATATATCTGACAGCGATTTCCGATTTGTTTTCGATGATACGATGTTTTGCAATTTAGGTGACGATATATTATATGGTATATTGCAATTTTTTATTATAACAACTAATACATAAAAACATCTCTGAAATTAAAAAAAAAATTTTTAAATATTATACCCAAAATACATAATAAAAAATTAATAAAAAAAAAACAATAATTATTTGAAAAAAAAAAATTAACGAATTCCAAGTTTTCTACACACACTTAATATAATTTAGCTACTATACACTTTAGATGATATGATAAACTTATATTCCAGTACCTTTATCCTAACCTATAATTAAACCTAGAAGACTCCCTATTACTTTTTTTGCGCCAACCATTAGCCATAAGCGGCCCAATAATGTCTAGAGCTGCGCGATTTACGCATGCTATGTATATTATGCAAGTTTGTATGAATATGTATGTATGTATAAATATTTATGTAGTAGATAAGGAACATAATTACAAATGAGGAAATGTATGTATGCGTGTTTGACTGCTTGTTATATATATAGATAAATATATAAGTAACTATATATAAGTAGTATGTTTGTATGCACATGTGTAGCTACATTCATATGTCTATATGTACGTTGTGATAACTGTTAGTATGTATGACTTTTACAATGATTTTGAACATAGTTTTAGCTGTATGATGAGAATCTCTACAAGTAAACTAAAAAATAGAAATAAAATTATCAATAATATTGTTTTTGCTTTTGTTGTGCAAAATCAATGCGAATGCAAGTTGCTCTCCACCCATTTATACAGCGATGTCTGAGAGCGCGCCACCCACTCGACATTGGAAGCCACGCTGCTAAGCGTCATATTCAGCACTTCCATGCCGGGACCGCGTCCAAAACGGTGCACCAGCGATTTCAGCTAAAATGTAATACAAATATTAATATTCATTTTCATATTAAGGTTAAAAAATGTAAATAAGCACACGCACCTCATCGTAGTCGAACTTCGTCGCGCCATATTGTGTTATCGCCGATATCACTTTGGCGAAGCTTAGCGTACCGTGACCAAGCCGTGTTTCCAATTCAAACCATTTGGCTTGCAGAAAGCGACACGCCATCGCGCCACCTGTCGGTGTGCCAGCAATGGCCTGTAAAACTTGCACCACTTCAACGGTTGGCAGCATGGTGACATGCGATAGTAGGCGATTTTGTAGCCAAGCGTCTTTGGTACGGCCGAGCGCACGCAGTAATTGCATGCGTTCGACGAAACTCTCCGATGTACGCTGGAGCGCGATGAAGCGTTCCCAACAATGCTGCCAGTAAATGTATTCACCGGACAGTATGGAGCCGGTATAGACCACCTGTGAGTTGACCAAATTACGGTTCTTTAAAAGCCTACTAATTAATATTTTACAAAAATCACTTACCTCTCTCAGATTAGGTGGTATCGCTGTGCCATTGTAGTACAGAAATTGGTTTAACATGTTTTTAGCCTTTGTTATGCTGTCAATATCTTCCCAAAGCACTGAGCTTAATAGTACTTCCGGTCGCATTAGTCTAAGGGTTCAGGAAAGCACATAAATAAATTTAGGATTTAACTTTTAATATAAAATTGTTAAAAGCTTCAGATCCTCTTAGGTTCTGGTTTTTTCACTTATTTGGTGCCAACTCGGCGGGGTTGAGATTGTAAATTGTCGAGAAAGTTCTAATGACTACTATCCCTGGAAAGGTATTTTCATAATCAAACTAAATAGAAGAAAGCTTAACCCAAGAGAAACGATAGTAATTCCCTGGTAGGACATTAGTAGAACGTTGAACGATCTTTAATGTTTCAAAGTTAGTTGAGAAGGTTAACCATAGTTTTGGTTTAGTTAGGTGAACATGCTGAGGGCGCGAACAGCCTTACTTGAACAGCTAGGGCCACCTGTCCATTGTAATGCCCAGGTATCAATAAAAACCGTCAAAGCACCTAAAGTCTGCCACAAATTTATTGAGGAGTCGTATACCAATTTGCCAGGTTCTTAGAAAGTATGGCCGCCGAGATTTTTTAACTTTCCACCTCATATTCTTCCCCGTAACTTTGACAAGTTTCAATCTTCCACATTTTTGGTCTCATCGTGTGACACCAATCATTTCGTCGAGAGCTAGTAGTTCAATGAATCTCCTACGTTCCATTCTGGGACAAAAAGCAGAAGGTACCCCATAAGTGCTAGTTGTTAACCCGCGCTTGTTGAGCTTACTGAAGGTCCATAGATCCGACGCCAAAAAGACAGGCGTACAATAGCTTGTTCTAATCCTGAATGGATTTGGGTAAGGGTGCCCTTTTGTGCAAGCTGGACTGATATCTGCTACCTTTGGAGGAATGTGGGCCGAGAAAATGAAAAAAAGAGTAGGCTCTAGAACGTAGTTGTCCAAGTTTTCTGGTATGTTGGCAAAGTAAGGAAGAATTCGAAATGTTTTTCACTTGAACCCTTAATGGATCCGGTTTCCATTAGTCTGATAGCAAGATTAAGGTTGTACATAGTCTACGAAATTCTTCCGCGATCAATCCCGTTTGCAAGAATACATCTTTTTTACAGACAAAAGGTAAACAGATTTTTTTAATGGAGCCCAATTAAACCAGGATTGGCAACATTCTGCCGGTCAGCTGAATGCCAGATGAGCTTAGTAAATCGACAAATGCTATAACAATAATTTCTCTTTCACTCACCTCTTTGCTTCATCGCCATCATCGCTCCAGCCGATTTTCTCAATAACTGTAGCCAATTTCATTTTAATAAACTCCGATAACATCAGGAAACATTCTGAATACTTCAATATGCGACGCCACTTCTCCAAGTGTCGCAACGCCACCGTCATTGGACCCCAATTTGTTTCACTAGGTAAATATTGTATCATATTCATGGTGATCTCACAGGGCAACAGATTCGCGTGACAGAGCGTAAACGAATCCGACAGCAGACCAATGCGATCCTTGAGTAGATGAAAGGAAAGATCGTGTAAAGCTTTTGACAAACTAAATCTATTGAAGTTATTTACCTCACTCAATAACTTCTCAGGGTTGTTGGCAAGTTCCTCAATCAAATTCGCCCAGTTGTCATCGTTGTACAAGACGCGATAATAACCAGATTGCATTGCGTTAACCTTGATCCATTTAACATTCTCTGGCACATTGAAAGTTACTGTAAATTAAAAGATTTTGTTGTTCCATTGAATCTTCCATTGTATGACTCCGATTTTGTTTATTCACACTCACCGTCAATATTCTGTAGCCATAAAGTCTCACTAACATTATTAGTGTCGGTTATGTAGGTTATGGGGAATATCCATTTCATCTTTGTCGGTTGCTTGGTTTTACCCGCAGCCGTTGGTGCCACAGTGCTCGGCGTCTCTGTGACATTCACCACCGTTTTATTGTAGTTGTTTCCGTCGTAAGTCTCATCGTGTATGGCAAGGAAGTCGGCCGGCTTGAAAGGTCGCTGTGATATGGATACGCTGTTGCCCAGTTTGGTAACAGTCAGTAGCGGGAAGCCCGGTTGATGAGTCCACAAAGTCATCATGTCCTGTGTGAGATATATGAAATATCAATTTTGACTGATATTCTAGATCTCGAGCTTGGAGTTTAAAGCACATAGTACAGCACTTACTTTGATATTTTTGGAACCGTTGGCTTTCTTTGTACAAATTGTCCAAAGATCTGTGGGTTCGGCAGTTTTAAAACGATTGATTTTCAGAAAAGCGCCAAGACAACCGCGGAAGCGATCTTCGCCAATGGCGGTGTGTAGCATTGAAAATATGGCAGCGGTCTAAAGAATGTTAATGGTCATTTATATTAGGCCTTTACTGTTTCAAAATCAAAATTACTTATTACCTTTTGTATGAAAAACTCTTCATTATTACCATCATGTTTTGTGCCGTTCATAATGCTATCCCAACCTTGTATGGCGTCAATGTCCAAAGCTGTTGTAGCTATTTTAAGCAGGTACATTTCTCTCAACGGCCAATTGGTTTGTTGCGGTGAAAGCGAATGTATGCCCAAATATTTTATGAGTCCCTCCCATAGCCAAACATCTTTTAATACCTTCCTCGACGTAATGCCACCAAAGAACTGTCTCACCATAGCTTCGGCCACTTGTAGGGCGCTCTTCTGATATTCCTCCGTCGTTATGGACTCGGGATCGGTGAGAAAGGCAGTCTTCAGCGTGACCAAACCCAACGAAGAGATAATGTTACGATCCAATGAAGGTAACGCCACAAAATCGACTTTCGTCAACGGATACAATATGTCCAACCAGGTTTGCAAATGTTCCAACACGTCACGTGCAGTATGTAGTATAAAAGATGAACGTGGCAGTAGATCACGTGGCGCATAGAAAGTATACGATGGCGCACGTTTAATTAGCGAAGCCGTCGACTGACTGAGCGATGTCAAATTCTTGCCATTACTTTCGGCAGTGGGTGTAACGGTCGTTGTGGTGGTATTCTTCATCAGATTAATATTCAATGAATGTGTGAGCGCGGTTATATTGCGCACGGGCGGCTTCTTCTCCTTCAACTGAGGGTAATTGCTGAGTTGAGCGGATTTCTTCGAGCCAGCGCTGCCGGGCGGCGCCGGTGTTGTTGGCAAATAGGCTGGTGAAGGCTGCAGAGATTCACGCTGAAAATCGCTCACCACCCAAGCGACAGCATCGGCGGGTAGTGGTGGCGTCTCGATGAAATCGTCACGTAGCTGCGGAGTGTGAATGGCAATTAGCGTGTTATAAAAGAAAGAATTTGGCGCATACTCACCAAACCGGTGCCCATATAGAAGCCCACATCCTCCGTCGTATGCACAATGGAATTGGAAAGACCAATGTGGAAGCGATCACGGAAAACAGATATGCGAAATGGCGCGCGTATTTGCGGCTCATCGAAGCAGGGGAATGCGCGACGCGCGCTATTCGGCCGAAATACTGTGGCTGCCAGCAAACTGTACATGTTGCGGGAGAGTTAGGGAAATATTTGTTAAAATAAATATATTTTCTTACTGCTTAAACGCACTTACCGCTCCAGTCCGTTAGAGCTCTCATATTGATCCACGTAAAAACCCTCCGGCTCCGGATTTAATTTCGAATACCAGCGCAAGTTAAGCGTGTAATTCGACTTCTTCTTCAGCTTCTCCTTCACTTCGATGTACAATTGCTGTCGCGGTGGATATTCCAATACTTTGACAATTTTAATGGCGTAACCTTTGTTGCCCGTCGTCACAATGGCCTGTGAAGTAATGGAGAAATGTCAGAAAAGAAAAATTGAATGGAAATTCAGTGGAATTTCAGTGAAATGAGAACTGTTATTGTTATTGTTCATACTCCAAGTTAAACTTATGCACAACAAAATGAAGAGCAAGAAATTGAAAGGTAAAGCTTACCCTATCGGTGACGTTTAGGTCCTGTATGTGTAACACTATGAAATTTGTTTCCTTCTCCATGAAGAGATCGATTGTCACTTGACCTATCGAAGAAATGCCAAAATTAATTTCCATAAAACTTCTAAGCTCATTGCATTTATTTCGCTTATTAACCTTTGACGTCCAGCGTCGTCAGATTGGGATGTATTGTCACCATGTAACGCAGTGGACGCGCACTCGTTGGCAGTGCCACCTCCAGCCATGGATAAGGCTCTCCATTCGTCGCAATCGGATTGAATGGCTGTGTGTCGTTCTCTTCATCCGTTTCGAAACCCGGTGCCAATTTACCAGCGCACGAACAATCTGAAATGGCAAGCAAGCGTGAAGTGATATAAAATGTGCTATTTCATGGGAGAAAATACTCATTTAGTTGCTAAATTTTCTTTAATGATAATCTAGTATATAGTTCATTATAGTTGCATGTTATATGGGATTTAGGGAACATTACAGACGCTCATTTCGATACAACTAGTTAAAAGATTTTTTTGTTTTTAATTAACTAAAGTTAGCTAAGCTTTAATATTTATAAATATTGTTTAAGAACTAGATATTGTTTGGTGTAGAAAAATATGTCTCCAAATAAAAATAGAAATAATTCCAGTGTAAAATCTCTATTATTCTAGTATTTATGGTTATATTAATGTATTTAGGGAAAAAAATCTATTAAAGATTTTATGTATTTTTCAATAAATCTAGGAAAAGTACACATTTGTTGTATTTACACAATTTTCTAAGTGGAAACATATACATAAGCTCCAGAAACCACTGATATAATTCACATATAGTCATGCATTAAAGGTATTTTTACAAATACTTATATAATATTTATATGCAATGAAATATTGTTGTGAAAACCTTCCATTCTCCGGATATAATATTTTAATTAAAAATGTAAACTTTTGATTATTTTCAAAGCATGCCTAACATGCAATGTGAACCTGATTGATAAAGTCTAAATAAATCTTATCTTATATTGTTTTGTCGTTTTGAAATTGCTAACATTTAGCGAGTACCGAAACGAATGAGCAAATGACATAAATGAAGCTTTATCCGCTTAAAAAACCGATTAATGATCCTATAATTTCGAACCGAAACTACTTAATAGTTATCATTACATAAAACAAGAGTAGTTCCCTAAATAGTCATTCATACTAAATTATCTGGAGCAAAAGTTCAAGAAGTCGAAACTGTACTCGTTGTTAACTGTTAGTACTTCCAAGTTCTAGATAATTTCGTTTTTTTGAACTAGTATATGTATATACTAACAAGATGTGAGCTTTTAAGCAAGAGTGATTCTTATCAACAAGTTCATCTTTGAAGTATGAACTTCGAAATTTAAAGATAAGGTCTTCCCTTAGCGAAGAAGGTACTCTTTTTAATAGCCCTTTTAGATCACGCGTGAGTCAAGCTGTCATGTTATTTTTGTTCAGTATTGTTTGTAATTTCATCATTGAAAAATCTACGTCTGAACAATGTTTACGAATCGTCCAACTTTATTACGAAAATTCACGTTCTGTAAAGAATGTGTTTCGCGCGCTTCGCTCAACCTATGGTCAACATAATCGGCCTACTGAACATGCTATTAGCAACACCATCACCCATATTGAGACCCAAAATTCTTTATTCGATAATATTCAAACAAGTAGACCACGTCCAGCACGCAGTGAAGAAAATATAGCAGTCGTAATTGTGAATGTACACGAAGACCGTGAAGAGTCGGACTGACTTATAGACCGAATTGGTGAATTTTACGTCGAGATCGTAAATTAAAAGCATACAAAATACAGCTTGTGCAAGAACTGAAAACGCTCGACCTTGCCAAGCGACATCGCTGCGCTCTATGAGCTTTTGAAGAATTCCCAGAAGATCTGACATTTTTGAGTAAAATTTTGTTCAGCTATGAGGCCAATTTGTGGCTCAATGGGTATGTAAAATGGCGAAATTGCTGCATTTAGGCTCAAGGAGGCAGTCCTTCTAAAAAAACTACGGTTTGGTGTGGTTTGTGGGCCGGTGGAATCATCCGTCCATATTTCTTCAAAAAATTATTCCGTCAATAACGACGATTATCGCGCCATGATAACAGACATTTTGATGACTGCAGTTGAAGCTCGTCATCTCGGCGACATTTGGTTTCAACAAGACGGCGACATTTCCCACACATAGCATCAATTTGTGGATTTATTGAGAGAACACTTCGGTGAGTTTATAATTTAAAATTTTTGCCTGTCGATTGGCCATCAATATCGTATGATTTTACACCGTTAGACTTTTTCCTATGAAGATATATGTAGTATATCCATATATATGCGGACAATCCCGCTTCGATTCATTCGCCAGTTACAAGTCGAAATGATCGAACGAGTCTTCAAAAATTGGGCTCAATGGATGGACCATGTGAGACATTTTCGCGGCCAACAATTGAAAGAGATAATATTCAAAAAATAAATGCCAAAAAAATGTTTTTTCGAATGGTAATAAACGATTACGTGTGGAGTTGGAAATTGGGATTTATCTTTAAACCGTTACGTATTCCGCTCACTAAGGTACGATTGTTATTTTAACTAATTTCTTATATAAATGAACACAAATTACCAAAACTAAATGGTTCACAGCTTCATTTAAAACTCCCATGCATGGATATTTTGCCAATAAGACGGCACGTACGAAGTGGCGAGACATAAAGCATGCCAAGGCGTGAATTCATTTCATGAATCACTTAGTTACAAAGTGTAAGTGTATTCGTATATTTGAATATCGTTTTACCTGATATCTACTGCAAAAATAAAGTGTGTTTTTCAGACATGTGGTTTTCAGCATAAATAAACTTATATAACGTATTGTTCTTCATCTTATTTATTGGTGTAGATACCGCTTACTCGGTTACGGTAATAGCCGAGAGGCCAACGTAGCCACTGTCTCTTAAATCGCTGAACTACTATATTTGTCAGTATGTATTTATAGTATGTCAGTACCGATGTATATCTCGTACAGCTCATCGCTCCATCGACTGTGGCATTCGCTGTTGCAATGCGCAATAGATTATCATCATTCATACTGCGACAATTTGGTTTATTAACGTACTCATTCCACCAAAAGTTGAGCTTAATCGCCGCAGCAACAACTGTCAGAGAGACCAACTCCTAAAAAAAAGTCTACCTCTTGAAAACCAAACGCCTAAAAAACACCCGTAACTTACAACGATAAACAAGTGATGACTGCTTTGTTTTCTGTTGAGGTCACCTCATTGGTTAGACTGCCTACCTGAGCTAATTTTGTTTATAAGAAAATGTGTTTTAACTCATAAGATAAACTTCTGTGAAGTTTAGAACAAATTAATATTGTATTTATAACTCAGATTTCAGATTTTACTGAATACAATACCTAAAAACGTTGTCGGTAGAGGCATGTTTACAATAAGTCAGGGTGATTGAGGGATACCTCGTCACTTAAATGTTAGTTTGCTCACCGGACTAGGTAAATTTTGGAATAAGATTTATCTTTTCATTAGCGGAGCTCTGGTAGTCATATATCTAACAGTTCGATAGGCGAAAGTCAAACTGTGCCAATCCGGTAATAGCCAGTATTAACCTTAAGAAGCGAAAATTTTCAAGTTAAAGCATAATTTAAATGTACCGAATTGAATTAGTTAAGAAAATTGTATATCTTCATTTCCTTTTAAGTTTATATACCCGACATCAATTTAGTGCTTGAGCAACTTTCTATAACACAGACGAGAAAATAGTTATTTTGAGAAAGCTAAGTAAATTTTTTAATATTTGTGAATAACTGTATAATTTCAAAATACTATTTTCAAAAATTATGAAATTTCTTACTTAGCTTTCAATTGTCTAAACAAAAGTTAATGAGAAAAGATATATACTAAACAAACTAAACAAGGGTGTTATATTAAATAATACTCCAATTTACACTGTACTTGATTGTCCATACTTTTTTACACACGTGCGGATTCGTACTAAATCTATAATATTGTGTCGTTCACAAAGTAATTTTGTTTGATGAGAACAGTCGATCCTAATTTTTTCGCAGCTAAGTTGGTCATATATTTGAAAAGCTGATATAGCAAGGTTCCTTTTAAACAAGTACGGAAAGGCTAAGTTCGGGTGTCAACGAATATTTTATACTCTCTCATGATAAAGTGATAATCGAGATTTCAGGCGTGGTTGTGAACCGATTTCACCCATATTTGGTACATGTCATCAGGGTGTTAAGAAAATATTATATACCAAATTTCATTAAAATCGGTCAAGTAGTTCCTGAGATATGGTTTTTGGTCCATAAGTGGGCGACGCCACGCCCATTTTCAATT